AGAAATGCTGGAAAAATAGSGATGCTTCAGATTCTTGGGCACCAGGAGTAGGGCAGGGCTCTCCAAAAACACATTCCTCCACTGAGAAGCAGCAGCCCTGAGCCCTCTCCCAGCATCAGGTAACTAAGCCCTTTCTTTGCAAAGCAAGAGCTGCTCTATTCTTTCCAAACAATGTTATCATTTGGCAGCTTCACTCCTGCTTATCTGGCAGCTTGAACATTATMCAGAATGTGGAAGAACTGGGCTCTGTGGCCACCCCTCTGCCCCGGGGCTCAGTGGGGAGAAATACCCCYCACCCCCTCTCCTTGTGTCTTTGGAAGGCTTTAGGTAGGATACAGCAAACACAGCTCTGGGGCTGAGGATCTCCTCCCAAGACAGACCTCTCTATTTTCCCTGCACCCCAAAAGTCATTGGTGGTCAGCTCAGAGCCACCCTAAGGCTTAGCATTTATGGAGCAGAGGTAGCAGGAGCCACACGGTTCACAACCAGCTGTTCACCCTGCAAACATCACCCAGAGGGGTCAAACCCACCGCCGACAGGCCTGATGCACGGCACAAATCCTTGTTACCCAGACAAACACCTCGCKGCAGGCAAGGGACACCTCAAAAGATAGAGGCAGCAAACAGGGTTTAACCTCGACACAACCCAACTCCAGACCCACCTTGACTGGTGTCCTGCTGACACAAGGACATGATGGCAGAACCTCTGCCAAGAAGGGCAGCACACCCCTCATGTCAGCTCAGCTGAAGAATGTGCCACCCAAGAGCAGCAGAAAGGGGACCCTGACAAGCCACCCCCCACAGCCCCTCTTCTTAGGCCGTCCCCGAGAGGTTGGGGTACCTGTGCAGGCTCTTCATGGGCACCCTCATGTACAGGGGACTACGTGCGACAGGACAGGGAGGCTCTGCTCACTCCTGGATGGAGCCAGGAGAGCCAAGCACCATTCCTCTCCCAGTATGAAGCAACCAGTGGCACCCACGGGGCGAGAACCGGAGCAGCGGTGAGCACGGTGAGGTTAACGCGACCCGACACCTCCCGCACAACCACACTGTGCCTTCGGCTGCTGCACCACRCCAGGCACACACCATCAACACCCCAACACATCCTGCAGCTCKCCAGGCTGCCCACCTGCACTGTCTGTCCATCCTCCCCAGCAGCACTGGGCACTGCCATGCAGCCACCAAGATTGTCACCAGTACCCAAAACCCTGACAAAGGCCAGCTGCCACCACCATGACAGGTATGCACAGCCATCAGCAAACAGGACAGCCAGCAACGGGCGGAAACTCTTCAAACAACCACAGCAAGACATGGAAATTCATCAGCCAAAGCCCCAGCTCCACTCGCTTTGGGGAGCAGCAGTTTTGCATCAAACACAAGGAGTTTTGGTTYCCATAAGCTCTCCAGCAGAGACCTCAGCCTCACAAGAATCTCTCTAGCACACCAACCACYGCAAAAAAACATATAGCACAACCAAATGGGACAGAAGCTTGAAGAGACACTTTAAAATTGATTAGTCATCAAAATCATCAGACCATAAAAGAAGCTCCAGCTGTGCTCATCTTTTTTGTATGGATAAATGCAAGAGGCAGGGCTCTACTTAAAATTAATTTTGTTTTTGGTTGGTTTTGGTTGGTTTTTTTTTGTTGACTAGAGCCAGTTACTCTAATTGACAATTAAGCCCATCATCCAATTCCTTCCTTTTTCAGCACCCCTGCCATCTTTTTTCATAGCCTTTGAAGAAGGAAAAAAAGAAAAGTAAATTCCAATAAATGCTATTTTAAAATGAAAAATGCAAGTTTAYAAAGAGCTCAGGAAGGTGTTTGAGCCATTCAACCTTCTGTTTTAAGAACCCAGCATGGACTCAACACAAACAATTCCTTTCACATTGAAAGCAATTTCAAGTCACACTGCTGTGTGCAAGCTCCAAGTTAAGCACTGGCCCAAACRTTCTGCCAGACCCTTGGCGCAAGTGTAGGAGGGCAAGAGAAAATAAARATTTAAAATTTGGCTAGTGTACTTCTGCAAAATCACTGTCAGCATGTATTTTTCAGTTCAAACAAAACCCAGCAGAACAAAATTCAAACAATAACTTGGAGGCAAGAGGCTGAAAAAAAAAATGCAGAAGAAAAACCCATATGGTGTAACTCATAGAATTGTTCAACACTAATCATTAACCTAAGTGCTCATGGTATCCCATGGCAAACTGGGTCTTTTTGCTTGGTTATAAAACTGACTCACAGCTTTTGTGGATGCTTTCACAAAACCACAAAGAATGATCTATTTTAATAGTTAAAATATCTCCTCACTGTAGATGCCTGCTGTAGCAGAGGGTATTTGCTGTAGATGCCTCTACAACAGGACCCCAGCCCTGGGCACCACAGAAAACCAACTGCAAACAACACGCTTTTGTGCCTGAGTATCTTGGATTCCAAGGGCAAAAACCTCAGCAAAGCCACAATCAACATTTTAATCAAAGACCTTCAGACCATGTCCCAATTCTACCTTTACATTCATCACCCTAAGAAAGAGGAATTCACTACAAAAATGCTCTCTTCCTCTTTTTTCCACGTCAGGAAAATAATATTCAAGGAAAACATGGATTCTCTAAAGGAGCAGGAAGTTGCCTGGTCATACTCCCAGGCCAAGCTGCAGTTATATCAGGTTGGGTTTAACTTGTCTAGACAAGCTYTGACCATCTCCAACCTCTCTGGGACCCTGTCCCCACACCCCATTACTCTTGCTGTGACCAGTTTGTSTCTCAACACCTCACTGAGAAAGCTCTCACAAATATCTCAGCTGCAGCACTGCAGTGAGCCCTTCTCATTCCCASTGCAATCATTTCTGCCTGGGTGCTAATTTGTAAACCAGGCAAATAAAAGACAAACTTGGGGCTTGAATTTGTTTTATTGCCATTGTTCTGTCCTTTGGGTGGGACRGGCTAGGCCAGTGTGGCACACTGCCGCCTTTCTCCAGATGTTCAGCCAGCCTGCCTTCAAAGCACACAAAACTCCGAAATTTTCTAGGATGACAGTAYTTATACTGCTGTCCTACAGGAAAAAAAAAAATCCACCAACTGCATTTGTGGAGGGAAGAGGAGCAAACCACTGTATCTATGCCTTGTGAACAGCTACACCAAATAGCAGTAGATGGATTCATAGCACAGGGGTAGTGCTGGTCCCAATGCACAAACACCCTTCTTCCCCCGGCCCCAAAGCCCCTCTGGTCTCTTATCCAATTATGATCCCAGCCACATTGCTAATGCCACTATCATAAAGAACCTTTAACAAGCACCAACAATACCATAAATCTGCTTTTTATGGCATGGCAGAGGCCTAATTACATGATTAGATTCTGTCAAAAATTAAAGCACACACGCTTGCTCTAACATTGCAATTAGCCCTTTCAGGTACCAGATAAAAGCAATGCTAACATTTCAAAGACATGTTGGCAACACAGCTGAACCAGATTACATGACTAACCCTAAACAAATCCAGGACACTACTCTGAGTCCCTTTCCTTTATTTTCTGTGTCTGCTAATGTTATAAATATAGGCACTGTGTTCCCTACTTTAAATGGTGACCACGCAAGTCCCAAGCATGAACAAGCAAAGCAGCTCAAACACCTATTAACTCCATATTACGTGTTCTTATTCTGCTTGAATCTTCAGGCATTTTCTACAGCATAATACTGTGCTGGCCTCACTACAGAGGTCCAGAAATGTTTTGCTACGAACATTTTTATTTCTGTGAAATCGCCTTTAATGAAGGTTTTTTAATATAAGTCGCACACCACTTAATTTTGACAAAAACAAGCCCTGTAAATCAAACACACCCTGCATGTAAGATAGGACAAGATCTGTGTAAGATACGGACTCGGACGGGAAAGGAAATCTAAACTAAGATAACCAATGATYTTCGTAAGAGGAGCAACACTTTAGCAAAATGTAACATTGCATATTAGAAGTGAGGGAAGGTTTGTGGCTATGGTGCTTCCTAGCAGTTCTCTAGAAGTGCCCAGGGAAAGGTTGGTCACACCTGGGCAACAGGAATGATACAGCAAATGATACAGCAAAAACATGGTCACATGGAAAAACAACACAGTAGGTAGCCAAGAAGAGAGCAGGTACCCCAAGAAGGTGGCACAGTGGCATCACCTTGTTCTTCCAGCTCACCACGAGCACTCTGCGACCACCAAAAGAAAACCTCAAACCCCAAGTGACTGCCCAGGCATCCCCCTGCTCAGGTCCTCAACATGGATGTGTGCCTACAAAAAGGGAAATAGCACCTGACAGGTTCTAAAGGAACCTTTTATTTTTTTTTTTATGACTTAAGTTATCTTTCACAGCTTAACAGGGTTAATATTATCATTAGGTACTGTATTTTAAATTATAACAAAGGGATGAACCCATATTATGACAAGCTTATGTAGCAGCAGCCCTTTACATACCTGATCTGTGCCWCTTCCAAAATACCTGCATTAAGGAATGTTCTTGAATGACATGAGAAAATGGGCTCAGTAGCTAAAATGGGCTCCTCTGAGCATTTGGGCTAAAAGGCCTTTCATCTCCCTCTCTTTCTGCTGTCAGAGCTAATACCAAATGCATGGAGCAAAGAAATTCCAAGCTCAAGCTATAAGAGCTGGGGTGGACCGAGGCTGCAGGGAATAACCCGCATCCTGCAGCCTCAGTGTCCCCAAGCACTCACAGCCCGGTCYTTGGGGCAGCACCGCGCTCGAGGGGCAGACAGAGGGCTGCTGAAGATGACTAGGCACTTGGGGGAGGGGGAGTAATGAAAAAAAAAATAAAACAGCAAAAAAGCCCCAAACCAAACCAAAACCAGAGATGGCTTTGTGCCTGGTGTGGCTAAAGAGCTGCATTCTGGCGACTTTTGAGTTTGCTCAGTGCTGCTGACAGGAGGAAAAGGTGCCAGCAGCAGGGAGCAGCCATGTTCCCCAGCAGGCTGGGGGAAGGAAGGCTCCCTCAGGGAATTCGTACTCACCTGGCGGTTTCATGTAATATTGCTCAATATCGGACATGTCCGTGTGCAGCGCACAATCGAGATAGTGCAGGATAACTTTTCTACTGAAGTAGTACCTCATGCCCATCAGAAAGATGGGCAAACAGCAGGTCAGCAGGAAGGACTTGGTCACAACAAAGCACATTACTATGGAGATAAGGAAGAGAAATAAACGACACCTGTCAGAAAAGAGAATTTAGTGTTGATTTCGGAACACAAACTCATTATAAAAATAAATCAATAAACCAAGCACAGTCAAAATACACATTTGCAGTGCACACACCGTTCACGCTCTCGTGATTATGGTGTTAAGGGATGGCGTATCGCGACGAGACAACCCGGAGAAGTTTATGAGGTCCTGAAGGAGCCGGTGGGGGAGATGCCGCCACGCCGCAGCAGGACCCACCGAGCCCCTCCGCAGCAGCGCCGGGGGGACCCCGAGGGCCCCGCACACCCCAGGCCCCTTCGCTGTSCCCGGTGAGGCCGGAACGCGGCCGGGCGGAGGAGCCGCGCTGCGGGCACCGCTCCGCAGCCATGTGTTCGCCACTGCGGCAGTGCTATTTCCATCAGCACCGATTCCCAGGGCAGCCACCCTGCCCGCTCCCGTCCTGGGGGGCTTCTGCGGGTGTCCCTGCGACGGCGGCTCTCTCCGGCACGGCCCAGGGCCACCGGCTGAGTCCCCCTGCTCCCCAGTGCCTGCYGGGGGTGCCCCTCTATCGCGGGGTCCCGTCCTCCCGGTGTCTGGGACACGGGGTGCGAGGCGCCCGCAGCCACCAAGGGCAGGAGAGCACCCCAAAGGCCGCTCGGGCCGGGGGGGAGCGCTGTTAATTATCGGCACGGGGGGAAGGGGACACCTCGCAAGCGCTATTTCTGGGCACTTCACTCAGGGAGGTGAGGGACCCCCAGCTCGGTCCTGCTGCAGGGGGTACCCTCCTCACGCCGGGGGGGTTTTGGGGGACGCTTACCGGCGGGCCCGGCTGTCTCCAGGCAACGCCGRCACGCCGTGCCCCCCCTCCCCGGGCTGCGCGGGGGCGGCCAGTGCGCGGTGCGCTCCGCTCCCCTCCGCGCACCCCCGAGCCCGGCAATCASCAGAAGGACGACTCTACCCTCACCCCCGCGGCGACCTGCCCTTCACGGCTCCCCTCCCCGGACACCCGCGCAGGGTCGCGCACCCCCGGCGGCGCACGGCTCCCCCTCCCAGCCCGCCTGCCCCCGCCGCAGCGCTGCGGCTCCGCGGCCGCTCCGCACGATGCTGCGGCGCTCCCCGGCCGCACCGCGCCCGCGGGTCCCCGGCGCCTCCCGCTTCTCCGACCATTTTGTGAAGACCCACAACGGCGAATAAACCCGGCGCCCYCCGCCCCAAAGGGGAGAGGATACTCACCCGCCAGTAGCCCGTAGAGCAGCTGAGTGAGGGGCTGCTGCTTCAGCCCCCTGAACGCCGTGTTGGGGATCCGCTCCATGATCCCCTCGTAAAAGATGCGGCGCACCACCTCCTGTTCGGAGGGGTGGAATTCGCGGATATAGACATTGTCGCGCCTGGGGTCTTCTTTTGGTGGGGTRAGGGGAGGTGGGGGTGAGGGAGGTGAGCCCGCCAAAGAGGGCCACATCTGTGAGGAGGAAACAATGATTGTATCTTTTTTGGATCCCGGGATTGATTCATGATCTTCCGCCACAATCTTGGTCTCACAAACCATCTTGGGAGACAGACAATGCATGCAAACCGGCCGCGGGGAGGGGGCGAGGAGAAAAACGGGAAGGGAGAGGTGTCAGAAAATTAACAAAAAAATAAAACTAAAAATAAAAAAAAAAAAAAAAAAAAGGAAAAGGGGGAGGGGGAAGGAGCGGGGCGCGGAGCCGGCACGGAGACCCGCGGGCAGCGGGGCGCACAGCAGCGCGGCCGGGTGGTACAGGAGGAAGGAGCCCCGCTGCATTTTGGAGAGGCATTTATAGGGCGGGGGGGGCCTCGGGTCCCCGGGGTCCTAGAGCCCCCCGCATTGGCTGCGCGGGGTCGCCATGTGATCGGGGGGCGGGACACCTTCCCCTCGCCCCCCCATCTCTGCACCGCCCCTTGCAAATTACTACGGCGCGGAGCTGCGCGGAGCGTCGGKGGCCGCGCATCCCTGCTCGCATACGCGGGTGCGCACCGAGGGGGGTTATTAATTTATTTTTTATATGTTTATTTATCTACTGCGAGAGCGCCGCGCACTCAGCAGCTTTCTGGAACAGTCGCTGCGGGTGCGCGGTGCTGCGCTGGGCGCTGCAGGAGCGCGGAAGCGCTGGGAGGGAGGGCCAGCGGGCTCCGCACCGCGTCCGGGCGGGCTCCGCACAGCCTCCCGGCGGGATCCGCACCGGTCCGGGTGGGCTCCGCACCGCGTCCGGGCGGGATCCGCACCGTGTCCCGGTGGGCTGCGGCGCGGCTGCTCCGCCGTGAGTCCCTCCCCGCGGCGGCGCGTCCCTGCGCAGCCCCGACGCGGAGCTCCGCCATCCCGTGCGGAACGGGCCGGGAGATGCAGCCGCGCGRCCCCCGGCTCGTCCCAAACCCAAGTAAATCCTGCTCTCCATCCCTTAGCGCCCCCCGGTCAGTAACTTTCCCTGCCGTGCGCACGCCACTGCGCGGTGCGGGGAGCGCGGCCGACTCAGCCGCCTCCGCGCCCCTCYGCGGGGCGGTGAAAAGAGATGGGGGGGATGCGCAGGGAGGAGGACGGGCTCCTCCTCTTCGCAGGACCCGAAAAGCCTCGGCCTCTCCCGGTTGGAACCGGCCGGCATCTGCCCGAGGCATGCGCTGTGCGCGGCCGGTGCAGGGACGGGGCTGGGCGGGGGATGCTGGGCGGGGAGACGGGCGGCTCCGGACACCCCAATCCTGTGAGGTGCATCCCCCGGGAGCTCCGTCAGTGTCTCCCTCTGCCCCCTGACAGCCCTCAGACGGAGCAGTTGTGCCTCTCCTCAAACTTCACCTGTGCCTTCCCCTGGGACTTGCAACCCCTGCGAGCCTCAGCCGTGCCTTCACCTGCAAGGAACGCCCATACACCCCATAAAAGTTTCATCTGTATCTCTTCCTCCGATACGGTGCACCTGTGCACCCTCCGTGTGCTCACCTCTCTTTGAGTTAACATCCCTCTATCCCCCTGCCGGGTGCCCGTTYCTGTGAGGTGCACCCGTGCACCCTCCCTACAAATTTCATCCCTGCGTGCCGTGGGAGATGCACTCCGCGCTCAGGGAGTGTGGCTGTGTCACTGGCACTGCGGGATTTGCCTTCCCGGAGCTCACACGCTATGCTTTGGTCCTCAGGAAGATGCAGTGAGTGGATCTTTGCTTCAAGCTAAAGGTTGATTTCACTGTGATGATTTTACAGTGGTTTCATTGCTTCACTTTTCTATTAAAAATAGTTCAGGAATATGAGAGGAAGGAGGGGGCAAGGTTTCGATAAGGACTTGGAARCCTTCCCACCCAGAGGAGCGGTGCCAGCACCCCACAGGCTTGTGCTGCATTGGGCATCCCTGGTGAGAAGCTGYTCCTCGGGTGGCTGTGGGACCTGCTCGTGGCCAGGCACTGCAGCGCTGCCAGGCTGCCGGAGCACCCGCAGAGTTCCCCTTTCTAATGAGCATCGTCTGCAACTGCAGCCGGAGCAAACCCCAGCTCCCAAAGCCTGGGACTGTCTGCACTGGAGATCAAAATACAGGATTATAAAAGGCGTCATGGCACGGGTACAGTAGCGGATGAGTTGGCCCAAAGAGCATCTCCTGCTCAAAAGTGGAGCCTCCTGTGGGAGGGAGATTATCCCAATGAGGGGAGGCAAGGCACATGGCACCCTTGCACCCCKATAACATCTCACCTCATTAAGGAAGGAGCTTGGGAGATACCCGGCAGCCCCAAATTCATCAACACAAAGAGTTAGTGGATGGAGGAAAACAATTTTAAAAATCAGGGCAGTGTTTGCCTTTGAATTCTGAAAGCTTCAGGCCAAAGATAGGAGGTTGCTGTTTCAGAAATATAATTAAGATAAAGCTTAGTTCCCACATGCCTGGGTTAAGCAGGCATTTATTTTTGTTTCATCCTTTCTAGGCAGATGCATTCCTTATTTATGAAATTACTACAGTAATAAAAACAACTCATTCCATAAAAAAAAAAAAAAAA